CATGGGAGGTGGCAGAGAGCTGTTTCTATATTAGGCTGTATCTCTCTTCAGCCCCTTTCCAAACCTGGGATCAAAACCCTTTGGGGATGCAGAGTCCCCCCGTTGCTCCCAGAGGCCCCCACGACATCCCCTCCTGGTCACATGTATATCCAATTTCCCAGGTTGGGCTGGGTCATAGAGACCAAGTCCTTGTACCTGTTTAATGGCTTTTTTGCTCCTCAAAAGCCCAGTGGTGTGTCTCCTGCCAATCCCACTGAGGTCCTTGCCTTAGAAGAGCAAAGGTGTTAGGTGTGCAATTCTATAACACAGCATTGGAACACTGCCTTGTGTGTTCACCACTCCAAGTCAAGTCTCCTTCTATTAACATTCATTTCCCCTATTTTCTTCAAAATATATTGCCATACCAAAACCATATTCTTTTTCCCCAACTTAATCAGAAATCCTGATTTTTAGAAGCCTTAATTTTAGTGACAACTAAAAGCAAGCAATTAGCATTCTTAAAATTTTTTTCTTTATTTATATTAGAGAGGGAGAGAGAGAGATAGAAACATTGATGAGAAAGAACATCGACTGGCTGCCTCTTGACTGCCCCCCACTGGGGATTAGGCCCACAACCTAGGCATGTGCCCTGACTAGGAATCGGACAGGTGACCTCTTGGTGCATGGGTCGACACTCAACCACTGAGCCACACTGGCTGGGCCCAATTAGCATTCTTTAAGTTAGCAAATTTATGCACCTATTTCATAACTTTAAGAATAGAGTTTTTCACTGGCAAACACACTCGCATTTTCCAGAGGTATAACAGAGATAACATAAATCATTCCTTTAGTGTGCTGAAAAGTGAGCTGTTTAATCATCTAGTGTCCTTAACCACTTTCAAGACGCTAGAGAAGAAGCAGGGGAGATAGTCTTGGGCTTACTCTTGGGACAGCACAGCTCCTGGGCCTACAGGGCTTGGATGTAAAGGTACCAGTTTTTGTTTTTTCCCCCCTCACATGCTCCTCCCACAGCTGGCACAGGGCTCTGGGGCAGCATGGATTCCCTCACTGTCCCTGGAACCACAGTGGCCTCCCAGCCTCAGCAGCCACCTGTGATGAACTCCATCTCCTTCCGGCAATACTTGGTGTGCAATTTTATTAATGCTCCATCAGCTCAGCTGGGCTGTAAGGACGAACTGAGGTGTGCATGTACATTAGCGGTGGAGGCAGTTGGTCAGGATCTCTGGCCTCTCCTGTTGAGTTTTCAGTTTCTGAATGATAAGGGGCCATGCCTCCATGGCCAGGCTGTCTGTGTCTGTCTCAGCCAGTGTCGCCTTGTCAGAGTCTGTGTCATTCAGCAGTAGGGTCCCACTTAGTAAGGTTCCATTCTGGGTGTGCGACCATGGCCCAGATTTGGGCCAGGGTCAGCTTCCTTCCCCGCAGGAAAGCAAACTGGACCGCTAAATCCTGTAGCTGGTCCCTGACTTGCTCTAGCTGCCATCCTAAAGCCTCCTTTTGATCTGCCTGCATCAGGTACACATCTCACTCCCACTCCACTGCCTCCTCCAACTCACATCCTTTCGCTTTAGCGCCAACTGTTTTGCCAAGGCGCCCCACACCGCCTGTAACAGAGGCCCTGCCGCTGCGGCAATCCTTCCCTTTCCCTGCCTGCCCTTTTCCCACGGCCCCCAGGACCATGAGCAACCCCACCCGTGTGCGGGGGTCTCCCCCCAGCCCCTTGGTGGTCCCCACGAATCTAGCAAGCTTGTTGCTTCAAATGACATGGAGCCCTGCTCCACCCCTGGGACTGCCTCTGGCAGATCCGGGATTGCCCCCAGCTGAGCCAGAATTCCCCCCAGCACTTCCCCAAGGCATGCCCACATCCTGGTCTCCACCCCTGGGGTTGTCTCCACCTCCCCCCCCCCCCCCCATCCTGCTGACTAAACCAGCTGGAACACAGAAGTTCCAAACCAGGGAGCACTACTCTGTTCTTTGACAGTCTGACAAAACCACGTTGGGGACCAGAGGGAAAGGACATCGCCTTTATTACTTACAATGGGAGAGGCCCGATGGCTGCCAGTTGGATGAGTCAGGCAGGGGCTTATCTAGCGGGGGCGGGGGGGGGGGGCATGCTGGGAACAGTTTGCTTGCAGGCTAAACACAAAGTAAAACTTGCTGGCTGTCAAGGACATGGGAACATTCTTGTTCTGTGCTGCTCCACTCCTTGTGGCTGCTGGCCAGGCGGACACCGTTCAGCTGACTTGGAGGGGAATCCAGCTATATCCCTGTGTGACCCTACACCCTCCCTTATGTTATTCACTCCTACTCTTTTTTTCCCCTTTATTGATTTCAGAGAGAGAGGAGGAAGTGAAATGGAGAGAGAGATAGAAACATCGACTGGCCACCTCCTACATGCCCCCACTGGGGATCAGGCCCAAAACCTGGGCATGTGTCCTGACCGGGAATCGAACCGGTGACCTCTTGGTTCATGGGTCCATGCTCAACCACTGAGCCACACTAGCCGGACTTCACTCCTACTCTTTCTTCAGAGCTCAGTTTGTGTCATTTCCTCAAGAATGCCTTCCCTCTTGTTCCGGGGCTAGGTCAGTTTCCTCTGCTGCATGATCTTATATAACCTTGTTTCACTCTTTGGAGCACTATCCTCTTTTCTCCAGGGTCTTTATTTGTTTATGGCTGTTGTTACTCAGCAGTGTATTGCTAGTGCCTAGCACAGCACATTGTAGATGCTCAATAAGTACATGTTGTGTGAAATTTTAAAATGCATGCTTATTGCCCAGCCGGTGTGGCTCAGTGGTTGAGCATCGACCTATGTACCAAGAGGTTGCCGGTTCGATTCCAGGTCAGGGCTCATGCCCAGGTTGTGGGCCAAATCCCCAATGGGGGGCATGCAGGAAGTGACCAGTCGATGTACTCTCTCATCGATGTTTCTATCTCTCTCTCCCTTTCCCCTCTTCTCTCTCTAAAATCAATAAAGATTAAAAAAAAAATTTTTTTTTTCCGGTATGTGCCCTTAGCGGAAACCGAACCTGAGATTCTCTGGTCCACAGGCCGACGCTCCAACCGCTGAACCAAACCGGCCCGGGCTAAAAAAATATATATATTTTTAAAACGCTTGCTTATTTACTCAGTCCCTACAAAGCACCAAATCCTGTGTGTGGACCCTGAGAAAGAAGATACCTTCTGAGAAGGGCTCCAGTGGCTTATGGGGCTAAAATTTATAAACAGAGTCTAGCAGGAGTCTCTCTCCAAGCTGCAGTTCAGGGAGAAGCCTGCACTAACCTGCCTCCCTGCACTGTGTTCCTGCCCTCTGAGCCAGCCCTCATAAAGGAGCTCTGGGAATCCTATTTCAACCAATAGGGTTGAAGCTTTCCTTATCCAATCAGAGCTGCACAGTTATATTTCCCCCATCAGCTTCTTCACTGACCAATCAGAACAGCTCCATTCTGATCAATCAGGACAGTGGCTTTTGAACCAATCACACTGAGGATTCGGAGTCCTCATTTGCATGAGGATAAACCAATCAGGGACCAGGGGTGGGGACTTCTGTCTATATAAGTCAGTTCGCCTTTGGCACTGGGGGTGCACTTTCCCTTTAGACTAAGGCTGAGGTCTGTTTTTTTGTTGTTATTTTTCATCCTCACCTGAGGACATTTTTGCATTTATCTTCAGATGGAGGGGGGAGGGGGGAGAGGAAGAGGGAGAGAGATACATTGAGTGCTTGCCACCCACACAACCCCAACCAGGGCTGGGGACAAACCACAACTGAGGTACTTGCCCTTAGCGGAAACCGAACCTGGGACTCTCCGGTCTGCAGGCCCATGCTCTAACCACTGAGCTGAACTGGCCAGAGTGGCTCAGGTCTGTTTGTACTTTCTCTTTTCACTGAGGGTTGTGTTTCTTTGGCTGCAGCTGAGAAACAGAAGTTGATACACCAGAGATGATGATACACCAAAGACGTCTGGCCAGATGGGCACAGATCGGTGCAGGGCAGGGCAGAGCTGTCTAGCTGGAAAGGGGCCTGGCCCCTGGCTGTTTTCACAGAGGTGCTTGTCACAACTGAGCTGTTTGCACTGCATAAAGTGTCCTTCTTCACCACACCCCAAGTTGGGGATTCTTTTGGTGTTGAACTGATGCTGTGAGCCTTTGGTTGATCTGTGCTGAGCCCTAAGATGGTACTGAGGTGAGCAAGACCGCAACACAGGTTAAGAGCAAAGGATACCGAATGGATTGTGAAGACAAGTTTCCACAACAGAGAAGAGGCTATCCAAGAAGCCAAGCGCTTCAGGAGTCAAGTGGAGGAATGATAGCTCACTTCCACGCGGGGAAAGCAATTCAGTCAACATACATGTTGAAGGAAAACAAAATCCTATAAGTGTTTTAGGTGGATGAGGTCACTGTAAGCATTTTACCGGAGGGGAAAACAAGCAGAGGCTGGTGGAATCACGCACAAGAAGTCACACAGCCACTAAGTGGCAGGAAAGGGATGTGAATACAGGCATGCTCAGTGGTCCGGTGTATATGCTCTACCACCGCCCAGGAGTGACTGGCCAGGTGTGAAACCGGCGCCGTTTCTAGCAATATCCAGAAAAGATATGCCTACCTGCAGGTTGCCTTTGTTTTCCCCCCCTTATTTATTTTGGAGAGAGAGGAAGGGAGATGGAGAAACATGGATTGGCCGCCTCCTGCGTGCCCCCCACGGGGATGGGGCCAACAATCTGGGCATGTGCCCTGACCCGGAATTGAACCAGAGACCTCTTGGTACAGGGTCATGCTCAACCACTGAGGCACACCAGGCCAGGTTGCCTTTCTTCCTTTGACCACTGTCATTGAATCGTGGCAGGGACCTCACACGGGAACAAAGTGAAGAAGGAAAAGAAGGCGAACTTCTGCCTCTAGCGAGCAGCAAGTCTGTTTCCAAGGAAACAGCACCCGGTTCCCAGGTGGGCGAGATCTCGCGGTGCCTGCTCGGCGGAAGTGACGTTGCGGCTCGCGAGGCCTTCGGGAGCAGCGCGGCCGCCGTTCCCGCGCGAGCTGGCTCCGCGCTCGGGTCGCCGGGGAACCATGGCCTCTGCCCTGGAGCAGTTCGTGAACAGTGTCCGGCAGCTGTCGGCTCAAGGTAAGGCACGGGACCGGCCTGCAGCCCCGGGCGCCGTCGAGCGGCTGGCGGCCGCCCTGGGAGTCCCGAGCCCGGTCTGCGGGGCTGGCGCGCGGTCGGGCGCTTAGGCCGGAGCGGCCGAGCGTGAGCAGCGCTGGCGGCCTCCGTGGCTCCCCCCCGCCTGGCCGTGCGCTCGCAGCTGGGCCGCCTCTCTTCCCTGGGGTCCCCAGGACCCCGCTGCTCCCCCTCCCGTGCCCCCGGCCCGGCCTGTCCTCCCCGGCGCTGCGCTTGACATGTTGGGGGCAGTGACTTCCGCCGGACTCCTTCGCGAGCGCGGGTTGGTGGCCTGGCCTCCTTCGCGGGCGGTGATTGGTGCCCGAGCCCGCCTGTCACCGCAGCGCCCGGGCGGGGCGGGGCCGCGTGCCGGGCTCACCTTGGCCGGCCCTGCGGACGCTGTTTGCCGCGTTAAGCCTTGCACAGTGTCGGGGGCGCTCTCGCTCGGAGGGCTCCATTTTCAGGGGTGCATTGGGGACCCTTAGTACTCTGCCTTTAGCGTTCATGCTGTTTGGTTCATTCATGTTATCGCTCGACAGAGCCCTGGACTCCGAATCAAAGAGATTCGCCGCTGGCTGTGAAGGCCCCTTTCACCATCCTGCGTGTTCATCTGTGAAATAAAAATAACTTCACGGGGTGGTTAGGAATGAACGAGAGAAAGCACTTGAAACAGCCTCTGCCGTGTGGGGTGCAGGAAGGACAGTTAGTACTTGTGAAGGGCCATCCATTGTGAAGTTGCAGGAGCTGCGTGACCTTGGACAAGGCACCTCTGGCCCATGGATCTGCACCTCCCTGTTGTAAGGCTTGGCTCATCTGCTGGGGAGACGTGCATAACGAAGTACTTCTGTCTCGTTTCCCTGGTTTTTGATAGAAATGGGGTTCACAAGTAAGGCATAGACTTGGTATGAATGAAGAAGCCACACCATTCATTTCTTCATGGACAATACAGACACTCAGTGTCTGTTTTCTGGGATGTATCGTGCTTAGAAATTTTGGGCTGGCGTCCTGTCTCGGTCATTTTATGTGCAAGCCACTTAATTGTTTTGGGTCAGTTTTGTCATTTACAGAACATAACTAGGGCTGTTGAGCATCAAGAGGAATCACTTGTCTGAAACAACTTTTAAGTCTCAAATCAGCATTGATTATTTAAGCGGGGAGGGGGGGATAATGGACTGAAATGCTTATTTCTGGGTGTTTCAAATCATTGTAAATGTATTTAGAGTAGTGAGTTGAAAAGGGGGCAGATTATTTAACTGGAAGATGCTGCTTATTTCGTACCTACCAGTGAGACCTTTAATAAAATGATAATTGGTACTTCCCAGTTTAACTTGTATTATTGTCTTGAAAAATGATACCTAATAGATCGTGGGTTTTCTTAATTCTTGTTTTGCAATGCTTGTGATAATAATGGAATATTTCCCTTATTTTTGGTAAAAGATCAAACTTAAAAGTATTATTGTATAGAAGCCCCAGGGATTAAATTATCAAAGTTCCTAGCTACAATCACTTGGATTTTAAGCAGTATATTACTTAAATGTTTTTGAATAACGAAAAAAATTACCCGGCTACCAAATAGAAATAGCTGGTATGGGTAGCTTCAAGTTCAGAATGTAAGAGATATTGAAGGAGGAAATTTAAGAGGTTGATGTCCAAGAGCGTGTGTGTGTATGTGTGTTTGTACCCACTCAGCCCCCACCAGGAAGACAACTAGTGGGGTTTGGGAGTATAGAATGTGGCCATGGTGTCTGTTATTACAATAACCTATTAAAATTGGTGAGTCTGTTTTGGCCCAGCCGGTGTGACTCAGTGGTTGAGCATGGACCCATGCACCAAGAGGTCGCCAGTTCAATTCCCAGCACATGCCCAGGTTGTGGGCCTGATCTCCAGTGAGGGGCATGCAGGAGGCGGCGAACTGATGTTCTCTCTCGATGTTTCTATCTCTCTTCGTCTCCCTCTCTCTCTAAAAATCAATAAAGAAAAAAAATTAAAAATAAAGTACTAATTCGGGCCTAATTAGAGTCTGTATTTTTGTTGTTATAACATTGTGGTGTAAGGGAAAGAAAAAGGGATCTTTTTGCCTGGTTGGCTGCCGAGTAAGCCCTGTATCATGAAGGTGGAGAAAGGGACTCTCTTCACCTAAGTTTATTTTGAACTACTTAATCACTACATTCCAGGTGTTGCAGAGAGGACGGCTATCTAGTCAAGTTAGCCATGGGAAGGGAGGGCAGGTGAGGTTCCAGGGAAGACCCAGGCAGACTGTAGAGCAGAGTATGAGTCAGGTGGTGGAGGACCCGGGGGAAGAAGAGTGAAGGTGGGATCGCTCAGCATGGAGAACAACAGGTGTAGAAGCATCACACTGAGGGAAGATGGAATGTTGATTGAAATTTGAGCTTGGCAGGACCCAAGAGTAGGTGTGAAGGGAAGTAGCAGGACATAAGGTTGGGGGTGGGGCCACAGGACAGGTTACTGGGCCAAGGCATTTGGACTTCTTAAAGCCGTTGGGGTAATTTGATTGAATTTTTCATTAGATCACACAGGTACCAATGTGAAATATGGGCTGGAGGAAAGAATGGACATTGAGAAGATTTATGATGTAGTTTAGATTAGAAATGATAAGGATATGAATTAAGGCTGGGAAGAAAGAGGAATGGATGAGCCCTGGCCGGTGTGGCTAAGCAGATGGAGCATTGGCCTGCGGACCAGAGAGTCTCGGGTTCAGTTCCCACTAGGGGCGTGCACCAAAAAGGAAAAAGAAAAAAGAGGAATGGTTGAGAGACTTAGGAAGTAAAATTAAATAATCTTTGGTGACATTTTGGATACATAGACGGAACCGGGAGTGGTAGTGATGGTATGTGTACATTTCTGGCTTGGGGGACCAGGAAAGGGAATGGAGAAAAAGGAGAAACTTTCAGGGGCCAGAGGTATGTGGGAGGTCTAATTCTGAGACCATGGACAGGGTCATTTTACTTTCTGGCCCTTCTTGGTCCTCATCTGAAATGAGGGAGATATAAGAAATCATCTTTAGGTATTTCTTGCTCTAAGGTATGAAGTCTGGTTATATACTCCCTTTAGCTTGGTTAGTACTGTAACTGAATGTCATAGTGTTATTCTGTTTTCCAGGGCAAATGACTCAGCTTTGTGAACTGATCAACAAGAGCGGGGAGCTCCTTGCAAAGAACTTATCCCATCTGGACACTGTGCTCGGGGCTCTGGATGTACAGGAGCACTCCTTGGGCGTCCTTGCTGTTTTGTAAGGGACATCTTCTTTTATGGTTTTGTGCTTTCTAAAACTGAACACTGTGCCCTTTCTGACTGCATTTTTTTGGTGCAGGAAGTAAGCCATGTAAACAACAGTGAGCTCTTGTGCACAACTGAAGTCATGCTGTGGCAGTTACTCATAGTGGTCACGTGTGCTCAGCACCGCTGATCGTTGCTTATTCTACTTTGTTAGGTTTTAACATTTTTTTTTTTTAAGTCTTATTTATACAAATTTTGAAATTTATTTTAAAAGACAAATGGCATCTCAGTTGTGGCTACTGAATACTTTCACGTATGCAGTCCTCAGATAGTCTCCGTTTTCTAACTTGGAAGGAAAATAAGGACGAGTGATGAGACGGGGCATAGTGACTATGTGGAGTGAAGTCACCAATGCTCAGAAGCAACACTGCTTTGAATTCTCTTCAAACAAGTATAAGCTGTTCGAGACCAAATTAAGTAGACCTTAGTTCACATGGGCTCCTTGTAACTGCGCACTTGGCAGTGGAATTACTTCTCTCTCAATGTTTTAGTATTAGAATTGGGATGTTATGCTTGTCATGACAGCTGTGCTAACGTAAATACACTGAGAAGACCTAAAACCGAGTGTCTGGCTTTACTTGCTCTGGGATTCTTGAGACAAAGGTAGGAGTCAAGAATAAAGTTGAGAGAAGAAACTGTCAGAATGAACGGTCTAGAGCTCTGCTCTGCAGTGCTGTAGCCACGAGCCCCGTAGATGTAAATCTCAGTTCTAGCTGCATTTCAAGTCCTCAGTAGCTCTGCCTAGGGACTGAGGTAACTACTGTGTCGGACAGGGCAGGCATATGACATCTGTGCCATTGCAGAAAGTTCTGGATGCTGCAGGCTGGTGAAGATGTGTACTGTCTGTGTTTGCTTATTAGAAGAAGAGATAGCATGCATGTTTTTTATTCATTGGGGGGTTTTGCTCCCTTTTTTAGCATGCATGTTTTATACACACAAATTCACATGTATATACAGGGGTAGGCAAAAGTAGGTTTACAGTTTTGAGTATGCAAAACAGTGTTTATTCTTATGTTATTTATTATCGTATTATTATTATTAACTTACTTTTGCCCACCCCTGTATATATACATGGAAGCAGCTCCATGCTATCAGGTGCTTCACCAATGTGTGTAAGAGAAAACCTGGAAAGAACATGGGCCTTGTTTCTGAGGGAATATGTCTCCATTGTGAGGGAGGGGCCCTAGCTTCGTGTTTGCATTTATAAACTGGGAGTGACAGCGCCTCACTGACTCACTGTGAGGCCCCGATGAAATTGTCTCAGACACATTTGATCTTTGGACATTGCAGTGGCAGGTGACATAAGTCAGGTCACACTGTTCAGACAAGTGGGAGTGCAGATTGAAAGATTTTGGAGAAATTGTGATTAGGCAAAAATACCCATTTCATTTTTCTTGAAATTAGTTTCAACAGTTTATATTTTTATTAAAAAGCAGTGCTTGAAGTTTACTTGTAAGCAATGCCTAGTGGTGGTAGCTTATATGATTTCTTCCCCCAAAACTATCTCTGACTCCCTCTCAGAGTGTTTATCATGGGAAATTGAAAGGCACCACCTGCCAAGTAACTCAGGATGGAGCATCCAAGTCCTCCCTCTTCCCACACCTTCAGTTCGTCCTGTCCTGTTCACCAGACGGCTTTTCCTCCCAGACGGGCCAGCATCACCTGGCCCTGGCCAGCAGCGTGTCCACTTGAACAGCTGCCAGAACTTCTGCTGGCAGTCCAGGTCTGTTCCTTGTCTCCCCCGGCCTGCCTCCTAGGCAGGGAGCCACGCGGGCTTGGAGACGAGGACAGTCCTCGCCACATTGGAGCGCACAAAGTTTATGTCGAGTTCCGTCCCAAATATTGGGTGACTTGGTAGTTGGCCTCATTAATGGTATTTTATTTTTATTTTTATTTATTTATTTATTTATTTTTATTTTATTTTTTTAATCCTCACCCGAGGACATTTTTCCATTTTTTGTTCAGATAGAGTGGGAGGGAGAGAGAGGACGAGAGAGAGAGAGAGAGAGAGAGAAACATCGATGTGAAGGGACACATCGAGTGGCTGCCACCCGCACGACCAACCAGGGCCGGGGACAAACTGCAACCGAGGTACATGCCCTTAGCGGGAACCGAACCCGGGTCTCTCTGGACCGCAGGCCGACGCTCTAACCGCTGAGCCAAACCGGCCAGGGCAGGTATTTTTCTTTTTAGAAAGCTGTTCTTTTTTAAGTGTCTTTTTCTTTTTTATCCTCATCCGAGGACTTCTTTTCTTTTCTTGTCAGAGCAAGAGAGAGAGAAACATCGACATGAGAGAGGCACATCGAGTGGTTGTCACCCACACGATCCCAACTGGGGCCAGGGACAAACTGCAACCGAGGAACGTGCCCTTAGTGGGAACCGAACCTGGGACTCTCCGGTCCACAGGGCGACGCTCTAACTGCTGAGCCGAACCGGCCAGGGCTAAGCCTCTTTTTCTTAACTTCTTTTTGTATCTATGTTGTGTCTTGATTATGCAAAAAACCAGGTCAGAATCTCATAGACTCTGTTTCTCAAACTTTAAAAACACTGTGACTCATTTAATTCACAGAGCACTGGAGGTAGGATGGACTTCTGGCCTCAGTTGCTTCTGCATTTTCCCCTATAAAATATCAAAGTAAATTGATTTTTTTCTCTCTGTTCCAGATTTGTGAAGTTTTCTATGCCCAGTGTTCCTGACTTCGAAACATTATTCTCACAGGTTCAGCTTTTTATCAGCACTTGTAACGGGGAGCACATTCGCTATGCAACAGACACATGTAAGAGAAATGACATTTGTTACTTTCCATTGAATGGATTTGCCTGCCTAGCCATTTACATTTTAATATTTTGTTATTGTATCTAGTTGCTGGGCTTTGCCATCAGCTAACAAATGCCCTTATGGAAAGAAAACAGGTAAGCTGCATTATGCAAGTATCTACAGTTCTGTCCTAATGTATATCTAAACTACAGTGAGCACTAAGAATCCTAACACTGGGATGTGCATGGTCACTTCAGAACACTCAGAGCCGTTGCTGCGAGGACAGCCCGTCCCTGCCGTGGCGAGGACCCCGTGCAGGGGGAGTCCCTCAGGGAGGCTGCTGCCCGGGTGTGGAACTTCCATTCCAGTGCCCTTATGTGGTGATGTGCTGGGGTTCTGTTAGTTAAAACTGTTTACACTTTTAATTATAACATAAGTTTAACTTGATAAAGAGTTGCAAGAATGATATAAACAATTCCCATATGCCCTTCACCCAGATTCTCCAGATAAAGCATTTACCACAGTATCTTACCCTTTTCCTGAGCCACTGGAACGTACATTGTGATGTGATGCCCCTTGAATGTCTCCTGAAAAACAGGGCATTCTCTGATGTAACCACCATGCAAGATCCATATCAGCAGGTGGCCATTAATACAATTCCTTAGCAAATCTACTGACCTCCTTGGATTGGGCCAGTTGTCTTGCTGATTTCTTTATGACGAAAGACAGCCTCAGTTTGTGGGTTGTGTCACATGGCCGCACAGTTTGTGTTTCCTTCCACCTGGGACAGTTTCTTTAATTTTGTGATACTGACACAAGTTATAATTTGGGTGTGTTTTTTTTATTTGAAATTGAACTGTAACAGTAGTGTTGGAAGGAGACTGAAACAGAAAGAGCCGGTTGGTATTTGGTAGGAGGACTGAAGAACTGGCGGCTGGAAGAGATGGCTAAAAACCATCTCCACACTGTGCTCAAAAAGCCTGTGAAGGTGCTCCGCATTTCAGAGTCCTGCCTCCTGTCCAGACACTGACCGCACCTCACCCGAAACTCGGTCTTGTTATGTATGAGCAGGGTGGGAAACGTGCCATTTATAACTAGTGGTGTTCGTTTCGATGGTAATTTGCTACCAGGTAAGAGATGGTGCTGGAGCATGTTTGCACAGGGTGCCTAGGGCTGCCCTGTGGGAAACGCCAGCATCCCTCAGCCCAGGTATGTTGGCGAATGTTTGCACAGGGTGCCTAGGCTGCCTGTGGGAAACGCCAGCATCCTTCAGCCCAGGTATGTTGGCGAATGTTTGCACAGGGTGCTTAGGCTGCCTGTGGGAAACGCCAGCATCCTTCAGCCCAGGTATGTTGGCGAATGTTTGCACAGGGTGCCTAGGCTGCCTGTGGGAAACGCCAGCATCCTTCAGCCCAGGTATGTTGGCGAATGTTTGCACAGGGTGCCTAGGCTGCCTGTGGGAAACGCCAGCATCCCTCAGCCCAGGTATGTTGGCGAATGTTTGCACAGGGTGCCTAGGCTGCCCTGTGGGAAACGCCAGCATCCCTCAGCCCAGGTATGTTGGCGAATGTTTGCACAGGGTGCCTAGGCTGCCTGTGGGAAACGCCAGCATCCCTCAGCCCAGGTATGTTGGCGAATGTTTGCACAGGGTGCCTAGGGCTGCCTGTGGGAAACGCCAGCATCCCTTGGCCCAGTTACGTTCAAGCACAGGCTCTCATCTGTCGTGAGTGATCTGGAAGTTCTTTGTTTGCTTAGATGTAAATATAATGAGCTGTTGAGGAAGTAACGATGCTTTTGGTTATTTATCTTCATTGTGAAAAAGGGCTTTATGATATAAAACTGGTGCTGAACAACTCTAAATGTCCCAAGAAACAGTGTTAGAAGCATTTTCTGACTGAAGTGGGACAGTCCTGAGAGAGTATGGAGATCTCATGCTGTTACTTAAAGGAACCTGTCAATCAGTGTTATTGTTTATTTGTAAGTGACAACACAAGAGCCAGTGTGCTGCCATCTCTGAGAACTTACTGAAAGGTGTCGTTTCCGACAGCCCCTGCGAGGAATTGGCATCCTTAAGCAAGCCATAGACAAGATGCAGATGAACACAAACCAGCTGACCTCAATCCACGCTGACCTCTGCCAGGTGAGCACCAGACTGAGTCAGGCCGGCGGGTGGCAGGGCAGCCGCAGGTTCGCTCAGCCACGGATTAGACGCTGCAGGTGGTTCGGTGGGGACTGAGCCGTTCCAGCAGTGGAAGCACGTGGCTGCATCTGTAGTGAGGGGACTTTCGGAAGCTGCTAGATAGGCAACCAGCCCTGTAGAAGGGTGCTCAGCTAGCACGCCGCGAGGTGAGAACAGAGTAGTTTATGCTTGTGACATTAAGAAACCCCAAGTTATTTTCTCTTTAAGGGATCTTGGAACCTGAGAATGAACACAGGTAACTTTATACCTTAAAGTGTTGTTCATTTACTTTGTTGTACATGGTTCAGAATCCAGAAGGCAGAGGGAGGGTCTGAATGAAGTCTCCCTGCTGCTCGGCTTCGCGGGCCACATTTCTTGTCTCCAAAGGAAACCAGTGTTGGCAATTTCTTGTTTATCCTTCCAAAGAGGTTTTGTGTATGTACAAGCAAATATGTCTATTTTTTCTCTGTTTTTTTTTTTTTTCAAATCTTTATTGTTGGATGTAAAATGTATTACAGATGTTCCACATTTTTCCCCCGTTGACCCCCTCCTCCCCACTCCCGCCCCCCCTCCCACCTTTTCCCACACTATTGTCTGTGTCCATTGGTTATGCATATAAGTTCTTTGGTTTATTTCTTCCCACCCCCCCAACCCCTTTCCCTTTGAGGTTTGTCAGTCTAGCAATGAATTTGTGCTTCTTAATCCCTTCACCTTTTTCACCCATTCCCCCAACCCCCTTCCCAACTGGCAACCAACAAAATGTTCTCTGTATCTATGAGAATGTTTCTGTTCTTCCTGTTCATTTTGTTTGTAGGTTCCATTGTTGATAGATATGTATTCATTGCCATTTTGTTTGTTCATACATTTTATCTTTTTCTTCAAAAAGACCCTTCATCATTTCATATAATAACGGTTTGGTAGTGATGAACTCCTTTAACTTTTTCTTGTCTGGGAAAGTTTTTTATGTCCATCGATTCTAAATGACAGCTTTGCAGGATAGAGTAATCTTGGTTGTAGGTTCTTGCTTTCCATCACTCTGAATATTTCTTGCCACTCCCTTCTGGCCTGCAAAGTTTCTTTTGAGAAATCAGCTGACAGCCTAAAGGGAACTCCCTTGTAGGTAACTAGCTGCTTTTCTCTTGCTGCTTTTAAGATTCTCTCTTTGTCTTGAACCTTTTGCATTTTGATGATGATGTGTCTTGGTGTGGGCCTCTTGGGGTTCATCTTGTTTGGGACTCTCTGTGCTTCCTGGACTTGTATGTCTGTTTCCTTCAACAAGTTAGGAAAGTTTTCTGCCATTATTGTTTCAAATAGGTTTTCGATTTCTTGTTCTCGCTCTTCTCCTTCGGGCACCCCCAAGATGCGAATGTTGGCACGCTTGAAGTTGTCCCAGAGGCTCCTTACAGTATCCTCATTTTTTTGGATTCTTTTTTCTTTTTGCTGTTCTGATTGGGCATTTTTTGCTTCCTTATATTCCAAATCGATGGTTTGCTCCTTGGATTTACATACTCTATTATTGAAGCTGTGTAAATTATTCTTTATTTTCAGTTAATGCCTCCTTTAATTCTAACTGTGTATCCATGATTTCTAACTGGTCCTTTTTTATGCTCTTGAGGCCCTCCCTAAGTTCACTGAGGTTCTCACTAAGTTCATTGAGCATCCTTATAAGCAGTATTTTGAACTCAGTATCTGTTAGGTTGCTTATCTCCCTTTTGCTTAGTTATTTTCTTGGGGTTTTGTTCTGTTCTTTCATTTGGGACCTGTTTCTTTGTCTCCTCATTTTGGCTGCCTCCCTGTGTTTGTTTCTGTGTATTACTTAATGAGAGGTATGGGGCTCGCTGAGACCCGATGCTGCTCGTTTGAAAGAATTTAGGAAAAACCTGAAGCAGGATCCAAGTCAGGCCAATCCTATGGTTAAGCAAGTGGCAACAGCTTGGGTGGGCTTGAAAGTTGTGTGGGGCAGGGCGGGGGCCTCAGGGAGTCAGCAGGGCGGGGCTACCAGTGTGAGCCAGGTTGCTGGAGTCCCAGATATGGCGACTGTCTGCCGCCCCCGGGAAGGGCTCACCATAGGAACAAAGGCCTCTGACATCACGTTTGGCCCCGAGGAAGCCCCCTCTCCAGCCCTCGCTCCAGTGCCAAACAGCTCAGTTCTTCCCTGTATGTCTCTGGCGCCCCTCGAGCTGCCTCCCCTCCGAGCTTAGAGGGAGAGAGTCCGATAAGTCCGTGCGCGGGCCCTTTAGGGAGCTGCCTGGCGCTCCAGTCACCTCAGCCTCCCTGAGCCTCAGTTTCCGCTGGTTTTCCAGCCAGAAGTTATGGGGATTCTCTTCCTGGCACTGGAACCCTGAGCTGGGCACCTGGTGTGGGACGGGGACCCCTCAGTCCTCAGGAAGGACCTTCCCAGCTGCGGGAGCCTCCTGATTTTTATCCACCACACATGGGTGTGGGAGCAGCCCCTCGCGCCGCCGCCCTTCCTACCAGTCTGGATGTAGCTGCTTTTTTTTTTTTTTTTTTTAGTTCCGTAGTTGTACGACTTCCATTCAGCTTGATTTCAGGCGGTTTTGAATGGTGGTTGTTCTGTAGTTTAGTTGTAACTTTGATGTGGTTGTGGGAGGACGCGATACCGCGTTTAGCTACGCCGCCATCTTGACCGGAAGTCTGTTTTTGTTTTTTAAATCCTCACCGAAAGATAAGGTTTTGTTGATTTTGAAAGAGAGCGTGAGAGGGAAACATCAGTGTGAGAGAGACATGGATCGGCTGCCCACCTGCGTGTGCCCTGAGCGGGCACCAAACCTGCCACCTTTCGGTGTATGGGACGATGCTCCCACCACCTGAGCCACCGGCCAGGGCTCTCTCTTTGCTTATACAGATAGTAACAACCTGTACGAACTCTTAGGTGCCTCGCTTTTTTCCTGCCTAATGTCTGTAGAGGTGGTTCCGTGTCAGTGCTTTGTGCTGCAGAGTGATCCAGTGTGGGTCTAAACTGTCCCTAGAGGGACTGACTTAGATGGTTTCCCTAATGAGTAATATGGTATGTGGATCATTTCAGACACCTGTTCTAGTTTCAGTGAAAGTGTACTTTTTTCCTTTTTCTTTATTTTTTATCTTTTAAGAAACTTGTGACTGAGGTATAAATGCACCCAGTAGGGTGCTCTGGTGGTAAGTGTTCAGCTGGCTCGGGGGCGGAGCCATGTCTGCCCTGGGCCACCAGCCTCCACGTACCCAACAGTGCCACGTGCTTGCCTGTCTGAGTGCACAATTTCTGTACGTAGTTAGTAAAGGATTTAGAAATTTAGAAAGTAAAATTAAAGAGCAAACTTCCATTCTTTACCCTTCTATGCTGACCTGTTTCCGGTCCACTCGCTCAGCAGAGCAGATGGCCTGCTTGTTGGTGCGCGTGAACAGTGCGTGCTGTGCCCAGTGAGCTGGGCTCGATTCCCCTGTGCCATGCTTAAGAGGACGGAGTGGCCCTGGCCGGTTTGGCTCAGTGGTAGAGCATCAGCCCGCGGACCGATGAGTCACGGGTTCAATTCCAGCTAAGGGCATGTACCTTGGTTGCAGTTCTTCCCCGGCCCTGGTCAGGATTGTGTGAAAGGCAACCAGTTGATGTGTCTCTCTCACTCCCACTCTATATAAAAATAGAAGAATATCCTCAGGTGAGGATTAAAAAAAGAAAGAAAGAAAACAAGGTAATATGTTGACATGTAGATTTTTTTTTTTTTTATCCTCACCCGAGGATATTTTTCCATTTTTTGTACAGATAGAGTGGGAGGGAGAGAGAGAAACATCGACGTGAAGGGACACATCGAGAGGCTGCCACCTGCACGACCAACCAGGGCCGGGGACAAACTGCAACCGAAGTACGTGCCCTTAGTGGAAACCGAACCCGGGTCTCTCTGGACCGCAGGCCGACGCTTTAACCGCTGAGCCAAACTGGCCAGGGCGACATGTAGATCTTTTTAATTAATAAATTAAATGTAAGGATGTAAACAAAATGTTTTCTTGAACTTTTTGGAATCTATGAATTTGCTTCATTTGCTAAAGCTTGCCAAAGTATAATTAAAATGACAATTTTTAATACAGGTTTTTTTCCACAGCTTTGTTTGCTGGCAAAATGTTTTAAGCCTGCCCTTCCCTACCTTGATGTGGACATGATGGACATCTGTAAAGAGAATGGAGCCTACGACGCAAAGCACTTTTTATGTTACTATTACTACGGAGGGATGATCTATACTGGGCTGAAGAACTTCGAAAGAGCACTCTACTTCTATGAACAGGTAATCTCAACCCTGTGGGCCCGAGGCTCTCTGGCTCGTGTGACGAAAGACGCTGCGACTGGAGGGATTGCGTTCGGTCTGAGTTTCAGGTGGAGGCTCTTTCAAAGACCGTGTGTCTGTGACCTGTAAGTGGTAGCGACCTGCTCCTTAGGTTGAAGGGCATTACAGAGGAGGGGGGCACTAATGTGTGGGGTTGGACCGGGCTTTGCCACTTCCATGCTGTCATTTGGGTTAAGTCTGGACATCTCTTGACTTTTATAGCTTTCTCTGCATATAGGTAAGAGTTTGAACTGAAGGATCTTTGAAGTGTCTTGTTTTAAAACCATGTGTGGTGTTTATGTTTTCTTTTAGTAAGTAAAATATTCTCATGGTTCAAATTCAAAGGATATGAAGCAATGCACAGGGAAGAATCCTTCCCACCTCTGCGGTGTGACCTGCTGCAGTTTGGTGCAGTGCTCTGGGGCTCCTTGCCTGACAGGTAGATGCCTGCAGGGCGGGCAGAAGCAGGCTCAGCTGGAAGCAGGCAGATGGCTCACTGTTACATTGTTGCTGCTGCTGGTCACTGTGTCTTCACGAGGGCCGGAGCTGCCTCTGCCTCGCCCTGCATGGGCTGATGCTAGTGTTTTAAGGTAAATTTGTCAGGTGTTAATTAGTTCTTATCTTATTCATAGCACATGTTAAAGTAAAATAATAAAGGATATTTTACGCCTTCAGGTTAGTTGCAGTGCTGACATGTAAACACCCATACACACACGCCTGAGCAGGTCTGCCGGGAGCCTGGGGAGGAGGGCCACCCGCAGTGCCGGTGTCACTGGAGGGCATGTCTAGTCCGGTGGAATCTTCAGGACTACACAGTCAAAAATTTCACCTCTTCAGCCCTGGCCGGTTTGGCTCAGCAGTTAGAGCATTGGACCAAAGGGTCGCGGGCCAGATTTCTAGTCAGAGGCATGTACCTTGGTTGCAGGTGGTCCCCTGCCCCGGTGGTGGGGCTCTCTCACATGGTGTTTCTATCTTTCTCCCGCCTACTCCCTCCCTCTCTCCCTCTCTTCACTCTAAAAAGCAATGAAAACATATCCTTGGGTGATGATTTAAAAAAGAAATTTAGTTCTTCAGAAAATTAATAAACACATATTTCATAGCCACTATGAATGTATTGTCATTGTACAGCCCAATATAATAACTGATTAGCATACTGATCTAGAAATATCAAGATGATATGCAATGTACTTAGAAAAATATTTCTATCACAGATAGTTAAAATATTAAAAACAAACGTTTTTTATATTTATAGATAGAAGTCTTTTACCTGAAAATACACTTATTCCCTGATTTACCCTAAGGACAAGATTATCTAATAATAGTGTACTTCATTCCACTGTATTTTGATAATATGCATACAGTTATAGATAGTAGTAATACCTTAATTTCAAAAGGTGATACAGATTTTTTTACCACTTCAAAAAAAATTCCAAAAGAAGGACGCACCTGTTGAAAGATGTTCAGCACAGCACCATGTGAAGCAGAGTGGAAGCATCTTCATCCTCCCACGTGGCACGCAGCCGCCTGGGCGGTGTGCTGGTCCTCGCTGGGACTGCGCCGGCTCTGCCGCCTCCCCGGAGGCATGCTGCGCTGGGGTCGTGGTGCCCGTGTCCGCCCGCGGGTTCTCGTGGCGCCTCTCAGAGACGTCCCCTACCGACTCAGTGGTTTGAGTTTTGATGTAAAATACTGGGCTGATTGGGTGGTTGGTTTTTAGTCCTTCTCAACCTTCACAAGTCCAGGTGAGACAAGGTCAAAAGGCAGCCACAGAACCGGAGAAATACTTACAGATCATGTTTCTGATAAGGAACTTGAATCTAGAATATACAGAGACCTCTTGCAACTCAACAATAAAACACTAAAATTTAAAAACAGGCAAAGGATGTGAGTAGACGTTGCTCCAAGGAAGATGTAGAGATGGCCAATGAGCACATGAATAGATGCTCAGCCTCATTCATCACCAAGGACATGCAAGTCAGAACCACTGTGAGACACCATTTCACACTTTTAGATGACTGTAATGAAGAAGAAACAACAAGTGTTAGTGAGGATGCGGAGAATTTGGATCCCACACAATTGCCAGTGGGATTATAAAATGGGTCAGTCACTTTGGTGCAGGATTGGGACTTCCTCAAGGTGTTAAACGTAGAGTTACCATGTGACACAGCAGTTCCACTAGGAAAATATATCCACGAGAAATGGAGACAGGTGTCCACCCAAAGACATGCTCACAGCATCGCTTCTCGTGGTGGCCAAAGGTAGAGACAGCCCAGGTGCTGTCCCGAGGGGTGAACGGACAAACGCTGTCCGCCACGTGCGGCGTGCTACCCAGCCACAAAGCAGAATGAGGTGCTGGTGCTGCAACACTGAAGGGCCTCCAGACATCTCAGCAGCACAGTCACAGGCCACACGTTTGTGCAGAATAGCCGATCCAGAGAGACGTCCCTGGAATCAGGACTGCCTGGGCTGGGGAGCTGGGGAGACTGCTCGTAGGTGTGCGTTTCCTCATGGCGGAGGAAATGCTCTGGAATGGGCGGTGCTGAGGGGTGCAGCGGGGCTGTTGAGGTGTGTGGATTGTATCTCAGCAGAGATGTTAGGGAAGTAGGACACATTTCTTACGATTAAAGCCATCCGTGGGGCGGACAGTCCCGCCACGGTGTGCTGTCTTCACGTCCACCTCCTTCTCTCGCTCAGGCCGTCACTACCCCCGCCATGGCCGTCAGTCACATCATGTTGGAATCGTACAAAAAGTATATTCTAGTCTCTTTGATACTACTTGGAAAAGTACAACAGCTGCCGAAATACACGTCGCAAATCGTGGGTAGATTCATTAAGGTGAGTTTTTAAAATAAAACTGATTTCTTAAGTCCATAAGGAAATATTATGAAACATAGTTCTGTCATCTTATCTGTAGTGATTTAGTTCTCCCACCAGCTTCAGAGGAGCAGACGTTGTTACGTGCTTGCTGGGACTCTGGGAGCACAATTCTGGCAGGGTCTCGCACTGCAGCACCTGGGCCTCGTGACCACCTGCCTGGGCAGGTGCCTGTTTGCAGACCTTTGCTCTGGATATTATAGCTGCAGATGTTGAAGCTCCGATAGGGCTGATGTGATTGACTGATTTTTGTGAATCCTCACCCAGTGATATTTTTTCGTTGATTTTTTTTTCTTTTTAGGTAGCGTGGAAGTGAGGCAGGGAGAGAGAGAGACAGAAATGTCGATGTGAGAGAGACACGTGGATTGGTTGCTTCCCACGAGACCCTGACCAGGGCCGGTGATAGAACCTGAAACCCAGGTATGTGCCCTTGACTGGGAATCGAACCTGCAACCCTTCAGTCAGTGGGCCGACGCTCTAACCACTGAGCCAAACCGGCCAGGGCAATACGGTTGATATTTTAAAAACTCCTTCATTACAGTTTAATGAAATACTGAAGAAGCAATGCTGGTAATTGAACGTCAGTTTGCCTGCGTGTGGGGAGGTCTTCCTGGGGCTCCCAGTGAAGATCATAGGCTCTTGCTGAACGTGTTTTCACCGAGAACCTGCTCTGGGACCACATTAAAAAAATGAATGAACCCTTTTACAAAGTGGCTTGAAATACATGTTCGTGATATTTAAAAAATGAATAATTCGAAGATGATGAGGTCAGTCATTTTAATAACAATTTTACCCTGTTTGTCCCTATATAAAACTCCAGTTTTAGGGTATCAATTTGAAAGTCTTCCTGGTGCGAAGATTTCTGTGTTGTCTTGATGTGAATAGCCAAGTATCCTTCATCTAAGAGCCCTGTTGTAGTCCTTAGGTGTCTAGGCTGCAGTCACAGACCAGGGGTGTGGTGGAAAGTGGTCAGGAGAGAGCGCATGGCCCTGGCCGGTTTGGCTCAGCTGTTAGAACGTGGGCCTGCGGAGGGAGGGGTCCCAGGTTCCGTTCTGGTCAAGGGCATGTACCTGGGTTGCAGGTTCTATTCCTGTCCCCCAGGGTTCTGCGGGAGGCAACCAATCAGTGTTTCTCTCCCTCCCTTCCACTCCATTTGATGATCAGTGGAAAAAGATCCTCGGGTGAAGATTTAACAGAGAGACCCTATGAAGAAGGACAGGCAGGACAGGGTTAGGTTGCTGTGCTCAGACCATTCTGGAGCCCCATGGCTCCTTCAGGTGGCCCTGCTCTAGAAGGGATGCTTTTATACAGTGGCACAATCCACCCTGGCTGGTGTGGCTCAGCAGTTAGAGATCAGCCTGCGGTCCAGAGAGACCCGGGTTCGGTTCCCGCTAAGGGCATGTACCTCGGTTGCAGTTTGTCCCCGGCCCTGGTTGGGGTCATGTGGGTGGCAGCCACTCGATGTGTCCCTTTCACATCGATGTTTCTCTCTCTCTCTCTCCCTCTGTCCCTCCTGCTCCATCTGAAGATAAATGCAAAAATGTCCTCGGGTGAGGATAAAATAAAATAAAGTGGCACAATCCACAAGCACTGGTAGTTTATTGATGATATAAGTGGTGAAAAGAACACAAACGTCTAGACCTGTAGAAATGCAGGCCCTGAATGTGCTGATGACCACTCCCATTCTTCGGGACTCCTGTGTACTTGACACACAGGATGAGTCGGCTGCCCTGGCACCTGGGAGGTGCGTGTGAGACAGTGGAGAGCTGGGGTGGTGGAAACTCTGCCCCGTTCCCGGAGGGAGAAACGAGCCGCGGACGGGAGGCTGCAGGTGCTCCCCAGGACAGTGCCCTTCGCCTGCAGTGTGGGCGTTTGCTCCGTCCACTAAGGTTCTTTTGACAGTAAATCACTAGTGAATTTTTATCCTTGGTCTTAAGTAGGCATTGGTTGAGCATGTGATTTGCTTGGTAACAATAAAGGTACTGAGTGTGCTCGGAAGACTGCCGTGTCTTCCTTTGCTTCCTACACAGATTTTACTCTAACGTTTCATCTGATTTCCCCCCACACCTTCAGCCGCTTAGCAATGCATACCATGAACTAGCACAAGTGTATTCGACCAATAACCCCTCCGAACTCCGCAACCTGGTGAACAAGCACAGCGAGACGTTCACTCGCGACAACAACATGGGGCTGGTGAAGCAGTGCTTGTCCTCGCTGTACAAGAAGAACATCCAGAGGCTGACCAAGGTGAGCCGCTGCCCTCAGGCCCTCAGGCAGTAATTCACACCTCTTGGTCTTCCCAGGGCTAGAGCAGGGTGTTTGAGAAGAGGAGCAGGTGAGGAGGGGACAGGCGGGAGGTATGACCACTTGGGGAGGCGGAGAAAGGCAGCCCCAGAGGGACTCAGTTCTGCGGGCAGCTGGGGGGTGCACTTGACGCAGCTGTGAGTCCTTATGACCAGCCTCGGGCCGTCCCAGGCTGTGCGGCGTCTGCACAGTCCTCGGACGTGAGTTACATTCAGGCCAGAGCTATGGAAGGTGAGTCAGTGATGCAGCTTCTGTTTTCAAAGTGAAAATAGCCTGATGCTCTTTGGTTGTAGAAATGATAAAGGAAGATGAACCTCTGAGCTAGGAGGCATGTAGTGCAAGGGCTGGGAAGCCCTGAGGGGCAGTCTGCTCACAGCAGGGCGGGGAGCCCAGAGGGCAGAGTGGGGGTGCACTGTTGGGGGGCCCTGGGCCCTGGAAGGAGGCGGGGAAAGGGGTGGGTTTGACAGAGGCCCAGAGAAGCTGGAGGAGACATGGGAGTCGGGCTGGTCGGGGAGGAGGAGGCGAGGAGACCGGCAGGGAACAGGGAGAGGAGCTGCAGGGAATCGGAGCTGGTGAAACGCCGTCTGTGAGGAGAGGACAGGATGTGAAAGCAAGTGAGAGAGACAGCGGCTTCGACCCGGCAGAAAGAGGACCTCAGGGGCTCTGGGATGGCAGCCCTGTTCTCCAGGCATTTCCCGCTTGGTCCTGGTGCCCGCGGGCCCACAGGGAGACCCCTGTCTCCCCGAGAGGGAGCCTTTGAGAAGGAGCACCCTGTTTAAGTAAAGAGTCAATATAATACAAGGGTAAAAGATAGTATATTTCGTAAAAAAACAGATTTGTAACAAAAATAAATAGAACAAGCAAAAAAATGGTAAATTGCAAAATGGTAAATAAAAGTTGGATGCAGAATTAGAACTTAAGAGCTTGAGTGAGGTGCGTCTGTGGAAGTCCTCGCCTCGCCAAAGCAGCCCGTCCGTCCCTGGGAGCGAGCCCTCCTCTGGGATGTTCACTGCCTCTGGGGGTCCTCGTCCACGCAGCCTGCCCTCCCCTGGGATGTTCACTGCCTCTGGGGGTCCTCGTCCACGCAGCCCGCCCTCCCCTGGGATGTTCACTGCCTCTGGGGGTCCTCGTCCACGCAGCCCGCCCTCCCTGGGATGTTCACTGGCCTCTGGGGGTCCTCGTCCACGCAGCCCGCCCTCCCCTGGGATGTTCACTGCCTCTGGGGGTCCTCGTCCACGCAGCCCGCCCTCCCCTGGGATGTTCACTGCCTCTGGGGGTCCTCGTCCACGCAGCCCGCCCTCCCCTGGGATGTTCACTGCCTCTGGGGGTCCTCGTCCACGCAGCCCGCCCTCCCCTGGGATGTTCACTGCCTCTGGGGGTCCTCGTCCACGTAGCCCGCCCTCCTCTGGTAGACGTTCAGGTGGCAGTTCTATTTGTTGTGAAATAAGAACAATGATAGTTCTGTGTATTCAGAAATGTTCACTTTTGAGTTCTCCGTGTTAACTACTTATGTACTTCTTAAAATTAACAGTACTTCTACTGGGTGCTATTCTCCAAACTAAAGATTATGTAGACTTTTGGGGGGGGGGGTCGTTGGTTTATCCAGATTTTCAGGATCAGGGTTTTAACATGTCCTGCTCTAAAAGTGCTGTTATAGCAAAGGGTGCCGGCTCTTCTTAAAGAGCGGGGGGGGGGGGCTCTGCTCATCTGCCCTTGAAAGAGGCCTTTTAGCCCTGGCCAGTTTGGCTCAGCGGTTAGAGCGTCGGCCTGCGGTCTGGAGAGACCCGGGTTCGGTTCCCGCTAAGGGCATGTACCTTGGTTGCAGTTTGTCCCCGGCCCTGGTTGGTCGTGCGGGTGGCAGCCACTCGATGTGTCCCTTTCACATCGATGTTTCCCTCTCTCTCTCTTCCTCTCTCTCCCTCCCACTCTGTCTGTACAAAAAATGGAAAAATGTCCTCGGGTGAGGATAAAAAAAAAAAAAAAAAAAAAAAAAGAAAGAGGCCTTTTAATCACAGCCCAAGCAGACCAGTGATGACACTGCTCTCCTTCTGACCCCCCATTTGTTCACACATTTTAGCTTTGAAATTTGAAGGATTCATATTTATTTAATTTATTTGGTAATAGGTTTACAGTACAGAATCAAAAGATACAGAACTTTTCATCCATTTCATATACTGCAGCCACCCTTTCTCTTTACCCAGAGGCAGCCCTGGCATCAGCTTCTCAGGTTCCCTTAGGACTGTCTCGGCATGTGTGAGAGCCCCCCCTTCCCTCTTTCTCCCTCTTTCCCTCCCTTCCCTCTCCTGCTCTCCCTCCCTCTCCCCCTCCTCCCTCCCCTGCCCTCCCTCCCTCTCCCCCTCCTCCCTCCCCTGCCCTCCCTCCCTCTCCCCCTCCTCCCTGACCCTGGCCCTCCTCCTCTCCCCTACCTCCCTCTCCTGCTCCTCCCTCTCCCCCTCCTACCCTCTCCCACTCCTCCCTCTCCTGCCTCCCTCACTCTCCCCCTCCTCCATCTCCGCCCTCCCTCCCTACCCCCTCTCCCTCTCCCCCCCCCTCTCCTGCCCTCCCTACTCTCCCCTTCCTCCCTTCTCCTGCCCTCCCTCCCTCTCCCCCTCCTCCCTCTCCCCCTCCTCCCTCTCCTGCCCTCTCTCCCTCTCCCCTTCCTCCCTCTCCTGCCCTCCCTCCCTCTCCCCCTCCTCCCTCTCCTGCCCTCCCTCCCTCTCCCCCTCCTCCCTCTCCCCCTCCTCCCTCTCCTGCCCTCCCTCCCTCTCCCCCTCCTCCCTCCCTCTCCCCCTCCTCCCTCTCCCCCCTCCCTCCCTCTCTGTCACACACATTTCTCTCTCTCCGTCACACAGATGTTAGTGTGCACTGTTCTGCACCCATCCTGTTATATATTTAACTATGTACATATCTTGGATTCTTCCAGTTCATAAAAAGTTCTCACTTCTTAATTTTTGTCACAACTGCATAGTAGTCTGTCTGTAGACTTGTGCTTTGCCGTACCTAGCCAGTCCTCTGGATAGGCGTTTGGGTGTCCCAGTGTTGCGAGGTCACAGACGCTGTGTGAGGGCCTTGCCCACATGCCATTCCAGACGCAGGAATGTGTGTAGGGTGCGTTTCAGGGGTCGTTACTCTAGAGAACTGATGACGAGAGCCCCTCGGCCCCTCCACATCAAGTCGTCTTCACAGCAGAACATTATTTTGTGTAGAAGTCGGAAGCAAATTGTCAGTGATTTAGAACTCTGCACATTGGTCAAAATTTCTTTTCTCAGTTGTTTCTGCCTGTGACTAATCCTGCTTCTGAATTGCAGACCTTTCTGACACTGTCATTACAAGACATGGCCAGTCGCGTGCAGCTGTCGGGACCTCAGGAAGCAGAGAAGTACGTCCTGCACATGGTGAGTGTGTCCATTCCCACAGGCTTATTTGGGGTTTTCTCTGTAAAAGTGGAAAATGGTTCGGGGGAGGACGTCCAGAGTCAGCTTTTGTGGACATTTTGGTTTATTTCCTTACGATCTACGGGGTTCTACAGTCATAGCAATCGTGACGATTCACAGGGTGTGTCCTGTTTGTACTCATTGTGTTTTGTTTTGTTTTTATTTTTTTTTATTTATTTATTTTTTTTTAGAGAGGAAGGAAAAGAGAGAGAAACATCGATTTGAGAAACATCAGTCACTGCCTCCTGCACACCCCTACTGGGGATCCAGCCCTCAACCCAGGCCTGTGCCCTGACTCGAACAGGAACCTCTCAGTGATGGGGTGGTGCTCAGTCCACTGAGCCACACCGCCGGCCACTGTCAGTGTTGTGAACATCCCTGAAACCCTTGTGAAGTGTTTCTGATACACAGGGGCACAGAGCAGAGCTGCTCCACGCTCTGACCCCCATAGGGTCTCGAGCGTGTGCCCGTGTGTGGGTCAGGGCCCTGCTGCTCACCACCAGCCAGACGGTGTGCTGAGTGACAGTCCTGACTGGTCTGCTCGAGTCCCTTCTGCGCTAGGAGGGGTGTGGATGTGAAGGCCAGAGCAGGCGTCCATGGGCTCAGTGCCCAGCTTCAGAAATCAGATCCTGCACGACAGACACCTGCCCTCCCTTGTCTGCTGCTCCACTGTGTCTCCCCGCTCCCCAGCTCTGGACACGCACCCTTCAGTGACTACCTGGGAACCAGGGAGTCAGTATTTTGTAACCTGCCTACCTGTCTAGTTACATAGATACATGGCTCTGCTCTGATCACTGAAACAAACCCATGTCCTCAGCTCAGGTCAGGCAGACCCCCGTGTGGTGTCAGCCGGGCCGACCTCCCGTGGGGAAAGTCAGCGTTCCACATCTGCTCGTGATCTCCCCGTGATTTCAGAAGCACTGCCCTGTCAGCAGGGTTAGGGTAATAACACTTTACATTGTGGTAATGGAGCACTTTATTTCTGTAGTCCAGTTTACAAGTGTTTTGAGGTTTTTCCCTTTGACCTAACCCTCAAAACACACATACATCCCAAACAAACAACACTTGTTCAACGTAACCAACCTGAGAGTGTCAGCTAAGGGCACCTTGCTCACCCTGCAGGGTTGTAGGGAATGGGAGCTACGAGTCTCTCTGGGACTCAGTCTCAGTGGGAAGAAGTGCATGAGTGGCTCTGACACCATCCTGGACGCATGAGGAAGCAAAATGCTCAGAGGGCGCAGGAGCGGGGGTGGGTTGAACACTGCACGGCCCGTGCAGACAGAGCCCACAGGGTTGGGAGCACAGTGCTCTGAGGGTGCAGGAGTGGGGGTGGGTTGAACACTGCACGGCCCGTGCAGACACAGCCCACAGGGTTGGGAGCACAGTGTCTGAGGGTGCAGGAGCGGGGGTGGTTGAACACTGCACGGCCCGTGCAGACACAGCCCACAGGGTTGGGAGCACAGTGTCTGAGGGCGCAGGAGCGGGGGTGGTTGAACACTGCACGGCCCGTGCAGACACAGCCCACAGGGTTGGGAGCACAGTGTCTGAGGGCGCAGGAGCGGGGGTGGTTGAACACTGCACGGCTCGTGCAGACACAGCCCACAGGGTTGGGAGCACAGTGTCTGAGGGCGCAGGAGCGGGGGTGGTTGAACACTGCACGGCCTGTGCAGACAGCCCACAGATCCGCAGAGGCTGCTTTGTTCGCCAGGGGACATTTGACACTGTCTGAAGACACTCTTGTCACAGTGAGGGGGTGCTCTTACCGTCTTACCAGGACAGCCCACACAGCAGGCGCCCACACAGCGAGTCCGGCTGCCAAGCTTGAAGCACCTGCCCTGGAGTGGGTGGTCCACGAGGCACGCCTGCTTTCAAGACTTTATTTTTTAGAGCAGTTTGAGGGTCAGAGCAAAATTGAGAGGGAGGTACAGAGGTTTTCCACTTCCCCCGTCCCCGCACACTCCCAGCCTCCCGCCCCCATTGACATCGTCCACACCAGAGGTGTGCTTATCAGAACTGAGGAACCCACATGAACACATCATCACCCAGAGTCCGGGTTCATGTTGGTGTTCGCTCTCGCACATTCTGTGTGTTTGGACGAATGTACAAGGACATGTTTAAATCATCATGGTCTCATACAGAGTATTTTCACTGCCCTGAAAACCCTCTGCTCTGCCCATTCATTCCACCCCCCACAACCACTGACCTTTCCAACGTCTCCGCAGTTCTGCTTTCCCCCGGCACGTCACAGGGCTGGACTCGTACAGGGTGCCGACTCCACATCGCTCCTTCCCTCTGTCTGTCCACGTCTGCTCCATGTCCTCCATGGCCTGCCGGCTTCATTCCCATCGCGCTGAGGGGTACTCCACTCCCTGGGTACAGCAGTTTATCCATGCACATTGGTTGCTTTCCAATGTGAATAAAGCTGCTATAAACATCCTTGTGCATCCCTGGCCAGTTTGGCTCAGCGGTTGGAGCGTCGGCCTGCGGACCAGGGAGACCCGGGTTTGGTTCCTGCTAAGGGCACGTACCTTGGTTGCAGTTTGTCCCCGGCCCTGGTTGGGGTCATGTGGGTGGCAGCGACTCGATGTGTCTCTCTCACGTCGATATTTCTCTCTTTTCCCCCCTCTTCCTCCCACTCTGTCTGAGGATAAATGCAAAAATGTCCCTGGGTGAGGATTAGAAAAAAATCCTTGTGCAGGTTTTTGTGTGGACATGTTTTCAGTTCACTTTACTACTTACCAGGAAGTGTGACTGCTGGATCATATGGAAAGAGGATCTAAAAAGTCATCGCCATGCCCAGGTCATCTAGGCTTTGTCCTGTATCTTCTAGTTTTATGATTTTCAGTTTACATTTAGGTCTGTGATCCGTTTGAGAGATTTTTGTGAAGGGTGTAAGTCTTTGGATTCATTTTCTGTGCGAACGTGCGGTTGTTTCAGCACCATTTGTTGGAAGACGGACTCGGCTTGGTTGTCCTGCCTGTGCTCCTCTGTCAGAGACCCTGTGACTGTGTATTGGGTCTATTTTTCGGCCCTCAGTTCTGTTCCACTGATCTGTTTTTTCCCCCCCAATACCATGCTGTCTTGCTTATTGTCGCTTCATAATAAGTCTTAAAGTCACATAGTGTCCGTCTTCCAACTTTGTTCTTCTCCTTGAATACTGTGTCCTTGTTTCTGTCCACATGAACTTTAGAATCAGTTTGTCAGTATCCATGAAATGACTATGATTTTGATTGGCTCTGTAGCTCGAATTGGGAAGAAGTGACATCTCAGTAGTATGGAGTCTTCCTATCCATGAACATGAAGGGATCTCAGTTCTAGTTCTTCGATTCCATTAATCAGACTTTGTAGTTTTCCTCAGGTCTTGGAGATGTTTCGTTGGATTTATTCCTAAGTATTTCACTTGGGGGGATAGGGATGCTAATGTAAACGGTTAAATTTCAGATGACCCCTGCTCACTACTGGGATGTGGAACAGCGCTGAGCCTTGCTGCAGTCGCTTGTTAGGTCCAGGAGGACTTGGTTGGTGGTGGGATGCTTTCAGATGTCCTGTGGAGATGGCCGTGTCCTCTGTGACCAGACAGCTTTGTTCTCTCGCAATCTGTATCCCTTTTCCCCTCCTTCCCTTGTGTGTTAGCTGGAGCCCAGGGGTTGCAGAGGGCATGATGCCTGGTCACTGCACTGTGGGGAGGCTGCACATTTCTCTCTGTATCTTGGCTCTGGTGACCTGTGGCCACTCCATCGAGGCGGGAGGCCCCGCTCCAGTTTACTGGCAGTTTTGATCACGAGTGGATGTTGGATCTTATGAAATGCTTTTCCTGCTTATGTTGTTTTGATCATTTTTAGCCTGACATGATGAGTTGCACTAATTGATTTCTCAAATGTTTAACTGGCCTTGCACACCTGGTTTTGGTGTATAATTCTTTTTATATATTGTTGAGTTTGCTTATGTTTTGTTGAGTGTTTTTGTATCTGTTTTCTTGAGAGTTGGTGGCACGGTTTTCTTGCAGTGTTTTTGTCTGGCTTCGGTGTTAGGGCGAAGCTGGCTGCACAGAGCGGAGGGGGAAGTGTCCCTCCGCTCTGTGCTCGGAAGAGGGGGATGGACATACATGCTTCTTCACCTGTTTGGTGGGGCTCCGCCAGGGAGCTCTGGGACGGGTGCTTTTTGTTTGGAAGTTTATAAATTATTACTACTATTTTTTTTTTTTTTTTTTATCCTCACCCGAGGATATTTTTCCATTTTTTGTACAGATAGAGTGGGAGGGAGAGAGAGAGAGAGAAACATCGACGTGAAGGGACACATTGAGTGGCTGCCACCCGCACGACCAACCAGGGCCGGGGACAAACTGCAACCGAAATACGTGCCCTTAGCGGGAACCGAACCCTGGTCTCTCTGGACCGCGGGCCGATGCTCTAACCGCTGAGCCAAACTGGCCAGGGCTATTTTTTTTTGTTTTTTAAGAGAGAGGAAGGGAGAGGGAGGGAGAGAAATAGAAAGATCAGTCAGCTGCCTCCTGCACACCCCCTACTGCGGTTCAAGCCGGACACCTGGGTTTGAACTGGTGACCTGCTGGTGCACAGGACATCACTCAGTCCACGAGCCACCCTGGCCGGTGGATGTTCATTACTGAGTCAGTTTCTTTAGCAGATACAGGCCTATGCGGATTGTATTTTAGGTGTTTTTAAGTAGGCATTCTGTGTGTGACCCACACGGAGAAAAGCACCAACATGGATAACATTGCACAAAGGGAGGGCACCTGTGCGGCCACCGGCGTCTTCATGACCCCTCATTACCAGCACCCAGAAACATGCCTCACCTGCTTCCAGCCCTGCTCCTGCCTGGAAAGGCTATTACCTTGACTTCTAACATCCTATGAAATATAAAGTGAAAATTACAGCATATACTTTGTGGGACCTGGTTCTGTGCTCCCCATTACGAGATGCGTGCACTGTGTCATGCGTCGT